CCCCCCCCTCGGTCTATAGGGGTGTTGGGGTACCCCAACATAACCCCACAACACTACAAATGCACCCCAACCCTTACAGCCCCATACTGGGTACCCCTCCCATAGCAGCCCCATGGGGGTATGGAGTGTCCCCCCCAAAAAAAAACTCCACGGGGGTCCACAAATACTTTCCCATAACCCCAAAGGGTTCCAAGGCTACTCCCCCATAACCCCCCAGGGGTCTTTGGGGTACCCCATCCCCAACGTGGGTCCGTGCCCGCTGTTGGGCGCGTCCCGGTGCCCCCGCCCCCGGCTCCCCCCGCCCCTCCCCGCCCTCCAGCCGGTGTCGGCTCCGGGAAAGTTGCGGCGAACCCCGAGCGCTCCGAGAGCGGCACTGAAGCGGAGGCAGAACCGGGAGCGCCGGGGCAGCGGAGCACGGAGGCAGCGGGGCACGGCAGCACCGGAGCTTCGCGGCTGAGCATCCCCGGGTAGGAGCGCACAGCATCCCCGCTCCTCCCCATCCCTGGCTCTTCCCATTCCCGGTGCAACCCCGCTTCTCCCCATCCCCTGTCCTCCCCATTCCCGCTTTTCCCCATCCCTTGTGCTTCCCATCCCCGCTTCTCCCCAGTCCCCCGTTCTCCCCATCCTCGTTACATCCCCTTCCCGGTTCTCCCCATTCCCGGCGCATCCTCGGCGCTCCCCATCGCCGGTCCTCCCCACCTCTTGTTCTCCCCACCCCCCGTTCTCCCCGCTGCCCGTTCTCCCCATCCTCGGTGCCCCCCATCTCCGGTGCATCCCCTCCCGGTTCTCCCACCCCCGGTACCCGGTGCCATCTTAGCTCCGCCGCCCGGACCGGTGTTGCTTTTCTTGCGCAGCCTCCGGGTACCGGGCGGGGGGGAGGCGGCTGCGGGGCGGTACCGGCGCTGCTCGTTCTCTGCCCGCCCGTCGGGCCGGGCCCGGTGCCGGTAGGGCCGGGACTGAGCGCGGTGCCGGTGCCGCAGGGCCATGGAGGCACCGCGGAGCCTCCCGGGGCTGCAACCCGACCGCGACGCGCTGGACCCGGCTGGAGGATGCCCGTCCCCCTTGGAGATCAAATCGGCCCCCAGCAAGAAGATCTGGGTCAAACTGCGGGCTCTGTGAGTCACCCCATAAACCGGGACCCCCCCTATAAACAGGGACACCCCCTCCCCCCATAAACCGGGACCCTTTATGGACCGGACCCCCCCACCCATACGCTGGGACAGCCCACAAACTGAGACCCCTCCATGAACAGGGTTCCCCCCAAAGCCAGGATCCTATAACCCCTCTTATCACCAAAGACAGGACCCCCAAAAAGTCGGGGCCCCCTCCCCAAGTCGAGACCCCCTCCCAAAATCAGGATCCCATCCTTAAATTGTAAGTGCCCCTCATATACCAGACACCTCCCTCTAAAAGCAGAACCTCCCCCCAAATCAGGACCCCTTCCTCAATCTGTGAAACCCCCACATAAACCAGTTCCCCCTCTCCCCCCCCCCCAAGAGAAAACAAATCCAAACCACCTGGGACGATCCCTCAGAAAATCAGCACTCCCCCCCCAGAACCAATGAAACCACCCCATAAATCAGGAGCCCCCCCTCCATAAACCAGGTTATCTGCCATAACCCAAAAACCAGGACCCCCCCTCAACCCAAACAAGGGATTCCCTCCTGGAACCCTCAGCTGCTGCCCTACACCCCCCTAAATTCTCTCTGCCCCCCTTTCCCAAACACCCCAGAACCCCCCCCTCCCCCCAGCCTCCCTCAGCACCCTCACCACTCAAAGTGGGGGCTCCAGGACCCCCCCTTGGGGACAGAATGCACCTGGGGGCTGGGGTGAAGGGGGGGAGGGGGCTGCCAGGGTTGGGCAGGGGTCTCAGGTGCCCCCAAATCTGTGTGTGTGTGTTGGGGGGGGGACACGTGGGGGTGACAATGTCACCATTCCCACCGGAGGAGCCCACGTGCGACGGTGCCCACGCGTGTGCTCACGTATGAGCTTCGAGCCCTCGTGCCCCCCGGTGCACACGTGGGTGTGCTCTGCTGCACGTGCACACGTGGGTGCGAAGGTGCTCACGGCTGCGCACGTGTGTGTGTCCAGTGGGGGGGAAGAGTGACAGAACCCTACATTGCACACCAGCTGGGTCAGAGTGCGAGAAGCCGTGGGGCGCGCGTGAGCACGAGTGTGCGAATGACTGGGCGTGCAAATGGCTTGCGTGTGCAAATGGCTGCGTGTGCAAGCCACCTGGAGGCAGCGAGCACGCGGGGGAGTGCACCTGCGTGCATTGTGCACACGTGGTGATGCGTGGGTGCGGGTGTGGGTGTGCGTGCACCTGAGCGAGCGCTGTGTGCGCACAGGTGTGCAAATGTGTGGGCTGTGCCACCGCTGCCCCGTCCCCAAATTGTCCCCCCTCTCACCCCCCCCCCCCGCCCTCAAGCTCACTGCCATCCCCCCATCCCTGTGCTGCTGTGGGTGGTGGGGACACGTGGGTGTCCTCAGGGTGGGATGCAGGGAGCTGTGAGGGTGCAGTGTTGGTGACACAGGGGGGGGTCCGCAGCGCTGGGGTGGCCCTGGGGACAGTGGTGTCACCTCGAGGCTTTGTGTCCCTGCAGTGGGTGGGGGACACAGGTTGTGCTGGTGGCCGTGTCGCATGGTGGTGGCCTTCCCTGTGCTCTGCTTGGGACACTCAGCTTCCTCCACAAAAGCTGGTGACACGGGGGTCCCGCGTGGCTGCGCCACAACGAGAGCGTGTGTCCCCAAAGGGAGGTGGGGTGTCCCCATGGATCAGTTTCCCTGGGTGGGGGGGGGTTGTCCCCACGGATCACTGTCCCCACAGATCAGTGTCCCCACAGATCAGTGTCCCCAGGGCTGTGTGGCCGTGCAGGGGAGGCGCTGCCTGCCGTCCCCAAGGTCACATTCCCCCGCAGTTCTCCAGCTTGAAAGCTGTGAGTGTGACGTCTGGCAGCCCCCCTCCCTGCGCCCCCCCCCGCTCTCTCACCGCCGTCACTGTCACCTCACAGGGACGTGGTGGCCCCCACTGCCGGGCACTGGGGCGTGCAGTGCTGTACGTGTGCGTTGCACGCTTGCGTTGACTCACGCTTGTGTGCGCTTGCATGTGCACACCTGCAAAAAGCCACGACTGCATGTGTGCTTCCACATGTATGTATGCTTGCACACACGTGTGTTTGTGCGTGCTTTCTTGCATGTTTGCAGGTGGACTCGCACGTGCAGCCATCGGTGCACACGTGTGTGAGCGCAGGGGGGGTGGCTGGCAGCGCTCTGCTCATGCGCACACGCGTGTGCACGTGCTGTCACACCACCACAGGGAGGGGGGACACGTGTCCCCCCCAAAGCTGGGCTGGGGGAGGACGCTAATGAGGCTTCAAAACTCATTAAGAGCAGGTGTGGGGGGGGGGAGGTGTGGGATCAGGGGGTGGCACTGAGGGATTTGGGGATGTGGTGCTGTGTCCCCCCCGGCGGTGCTGGCGGTGTCCTCGTGCCCCCCCCATGCTGTCCCACGGCCCCGATGGCCCCGCGTGGTCCCAGAGCTGGTGACAATCCATGTGAGGTCACGGCTCTGTCCTCTCTTGCGTTGCTGCAGCACACGTCCCTCCTGCTGGACTTTAAGCCTTTGCACAAGCACGTGCAACCTCGTGCAACCACGAGCACGAGCGACTCGGTGCGGCCTTGCACGAGCACGTGCAACCCTGCGCAGCTTCTCACGGCCACGTGCAGCCTTGCACCACCACGCGCGGCCTCGTGCAGCCTTGCACGCCTGTGCACAACTGTGCACACAGCCCCGGGTGCTGCCTTGGGCCGTGCCGTGCGCCCGCTGCCAGCTCTCATTAGCGCTAACGAGGCCGAGGGCTGCCAGGGAGCGGGCGGCCGGAGGAGCCGGCAGGAAGCTGCCACCGCTGCTTTCTTAATCAGCCTTTAATTAAATCGTGGCCATCCCTCGGGGCCACGCCGGGCCCTAAGCCAGGACCCACAGCCGGAGGTGACGCGCGTCGGGGTCCCCGTCTGGGAATCGTCCCCATGTGACGGTCGTGGGAGCGGGGCTGCCGTGGGGTGGTCACCCTCCCAAGGTGTCCCCAAGGCCTGTGGAGGGTGGGCAGTGTCGTGGGAATGTGGTGGCCCTGGGGGTGGGTGTCACTTACCTTGGGGACGGCGTGCTGCCTGGGGAGCGGGGATGTGGTGGCATCAGGTGGTGGTGGTTGGGGATGTCGTTGGTGCCCCCATAGGGATCTGGTGGGTGGGGGGGGGAATGGTGGTCATCAGGAGGCACAGATGGGGACGTGGGGGTACCTATGGGGTCTTGATTGGTGGCACTGATGGGGACCTGGTGGCACCAGGTGGCACTGATGGGACCTGGGAGGTACCTATGGGGTCCTTGGTGGTGCCAAGTGGCACTGATGGGGACCTGGTGACATCAGTGACAAGGATCTGGGGGGTGCCAATGGTGACCTGGTTGGTGCTGGGTGGCATTGCTGGGAGCCTGGTGACATGAAGTATTGGTGACAGGGACCTGGTGGGTACCAATGGGGTCGTGGTTGGTGCCAGGTGGCACTGATGGGGACCTGGGGGTACCTATGGAGTCTTGATTGGTGGTGCTGATGGGGACCTGGTGGCACCAGGTGGCACTGATGGGAACCTGGGGGGTTCCTATGGGGTCCTTGGTGGCACGTGGTGGCAGTAATGGGGAACTGGTGGCATCGGGTGGCAGTGATGGGGACCTGGGGGGTACCTATGGGTACCTATGGGGTCTTGGTTGGTGCCAGGGGGCAGCGATGGGGACTTGGGGGGGTACCTTTGGGTACGTGGTTGGTTGCAATGGGGGGACTTGGTGACATCAGGTATGGGTACCAGAGACCTGGTGGGTATCAGTGGGATCCTGGTTGGTGCTGGATGGCACTGATGGGGACCTGGCAGCACCAGATGGCACTGATGGGGATCTGTGGGGTACCTGAGGGGTCCTTAGTGGTGCCAAGGGGACCTGGGTGACAGCGATGGGGACCCGACGAGTAGCGCTGGTGACAAGGGGACGCCAGGGGGCAGTGACAGAGTGGCCGTGGTGACCAGAGGGCTGAACCAGGGACAGCGTGACGCGTCCCCACTCTGTCCCCATCCCCATCCCTGTGCGAGCAGACAGCGCAGTGCAGGCAGCGGATGGCAGATGGGATTTCCCTCCCCCCCCCGCCTCCATCCCCACCACGACAGACACACGGACACACAGACAGACGGCCGGGGGCTGCGTGCACACGTGTGTGACAGACGGGGAGGGTTCACCATCTGTGGGAGCTGGGGAGGTGCCACGGTTTTGTGCACACGCGTGTGCTGCGTTGGATAAGCATGCCGTGCGTGTATTGTGCAAGCGTGCGTGCGCTGGGGTGAGTAATTGCACGTGTGGGTTGGTGTTTGCACGTGTGCACACGTATGGTGAGTATGCATTGTGCTGCGTGTGCTCGTGTGCACGATAATCTGTGCATCTGTGGTGCACACATCGGTGTACGTTGCTGGGCATGTGAGTGTGCCCAGCACGCGCACGTGTTGCACGCAGGTACACGAGCGTGCATTTCGGTGTGCAATGGGTGTGTACGTGCATCATACGTGTGAGTTTGGGCATGCACGTGCAAGCAAACGTTTGCGTGCCCATGGGTGCAGTGTGTGGGGTGCAGGATGATGAGCACTGGGGGGAGGTTGAGGTTTTGGGGGTGCGGGGTGTGGGGGATGCAGGGAGCTCAGGGGTGCAGAGTTTTGGGGTGCAGGGTTTGGAGGGATACAGACTTTAAAGGTGCAGAGTTTTGGTGGTGGGGGGTTTTAGGGGTGCAGATTTGGGGGCTGCAGGGTTTGAGGGTTCAGGATTTTGGGGGGGTGCAGTGTTTGGGGGTGCAAGATTTTAGGGGCGCAGGGTTTTAGCGGTGCAGGGTTTGAGGCTGCAGTCTTAGGGGTGCAGAGTTTTAGAGGTGCTGGTCTTTAAGGGTGCAGGGAGTTGGGGTGCTGAGCTTTAGGGGTTCAGGGTTTGGGGGGTGTAAAGTTTTAGGGATGTGGGGTTTGGAGGTGCGGGGTTTTGGGGATGCGGGGTGCTCCAGCTCAGCCCTCACCCCTGGTACTCAGCACTGGGTGCCCCCAGGACCCCCCCTCCTACCCCCCCACCTCATCCCATCCACGTCCCCTCTCACTGCCCCCCTCGGTGCAGTGCTGGGGGTCACAGTGGGGTTCCAGCTGCCCCCCACCCCACTCAGGCTCCGCTACATGGTGAAGCAGCTGGAGACGGGAGAGGTGAACGTGGAGGAGCTGAAGAGGAACCTGGAGTACACAGCATCACTGCTGGAGGCCGTCTACATCGATGAGACCAGGTGTGGGGCGAGGTGGGAGGGGAGGGGTGGGTGGGTGGGTGGGTGGACGGACAGATGGACGGACGGGTGGATGGATGGATGGGTGGGTGCATGGATGGGTGGACAGATGGATAGATGGATGGGTGAGTGGGTGGATGGGTGGATGGACAGATGGACTGATGGATAGATGGATGGATGGATGGATGGGTGGGTGGGTGGATAGACAGATGGATGCATGGATGGATGGACAAATGGATGGACAGATGGGTGGATGAATAGATGGGTGGATGGATGGGTGGATGGATGGATAGATGGATGGGTGAGTGGGTGGATGGACAAATGGATGGACAGATGGGTGGATGAGTGGATGGGTGGATGAATAGACAGATGGATGGATGGGTGGATGGATGGATGGACAGATGGATGGATGGATAGATGGATGGGTGAGTGGGTGGATGGGTGGATGGACAGATGGACTGATGGACAGATGGATGTATGGATGGACAGATGGATGGATGGGTAGATGGATGGATAGATGGATGGGTGAGTGGGTGGATGGACTGATGGACAGATGGACGGATGGATGGATGGATAGACAGATGGGTGCATGGATGGATGGACAAATGGATGGACAGATGGGTGGATGAATAGACGGATGGATGGATGGGTGGATGGACAGATGGATGGACGGGTGGATGGATGGATAGATGGATGGGTGAGTGGGCGGACAGATGGATGGACGGATGGATGGGCGGATGGATGGATGGATAGGCAGATGGGTGCATGGACAGATGGATGCATGGGTGGATGGATGGATGGATAGATGGATGGGTGAGTGGGTGGATGGGTGGATGGACGGATGGACTGATGGACAGATGGATGGATAGACAGATGGGTGGATGGATGGATAAACAGACGTATGGATGGATGGTTGATTGGACTCACGGATGGATGGATGGATGTACAGGTGGACAGATGGATGTACAGATATATGGACGGATGGTTGGACGGACGGACAGATGGATGACGTGGGGATGCGGTGACGTCCCCCGATGTCACCTCCCGTCCCTGCAGGCAGATGCTGGACACGGAGGATGAGCTGCGGGAGATGCGCTCGGACGCGGTGCCCTCGGAGGTGCGGGACTGGCTGGCTGCCACCTTCACCCAGCAGGCGCGTGCCAAAGGGCGGCGGGCGGAGGAGAAACCCAAATTCCGCAGCATTGTGCACGCAGTGCAGGCCGGCATCTTCGTGGAGAGGTGGGGATGTGATGGGTGAGGGGGTCGGGGAGGGCTGAGCTTTCATGTGGGTCCCCAGAAGCAGAGCGGTCCCCAGTAAACCAAGTGGGTCCCCAGGAACTCAGCTTGGACCCCGTGGGTTCCCAAGAGCTCAGGTGGGTCCCTGAACACCCCATTGTCTGGGTGTGACCCCAAGAAGCCAGGTGACCCTACAGCATTAGATATGTTCCTAAGGACCCGTGTGGGTCCCCAGAACTCAGGATGGTCCCTGAGCCTCAGCATCCATACAGATCCCTGAGCACCAGATCAGTCCCTAAGAAACTATACTGGTCCCCAGTACTCAGATGGGTCCCTGAGCAACCAGGTGTGTCTCCAAGCTTTGGCTCAGTACCCAAGAATCTATAAGGATCCCCAAGAGGCCAGATGGGTCCCCAGCATCCAGGTGGGCCCCAAAGAACCAAATCACTCCCCAGTAGTCCAGATGGATCCCCAAGAACTCCATTGGATCCCTGAGCATTCATGAAAGTCCCCAGTATCCAGGTGGGTCCCCAAGCTCCAGATCAGCCCCAAGTGGTGCCACGAGAAGCCATATGGATCCCTAAGAACTCAGCTGGGTCTTTTGGCATCTGTGTTGGTCCTCAGCACTCATGTCTATCCCTGAGCACTCAGCTCAGTCTCTGCCCCTCTGCTGTCCCCTGGTGCCCACCAGCCCTCTCCCTTGCAGGATGTTCCGCCGGACGTACACAGCTGTGGGGCCCAGCTACTCCACCTCTGTCCTCAACTGCCTGAAGGTACTGGGGAGGGGGACAGCACCCCAAGGACCCCCCACCAAAGGCAGCTGTGCAGAGGGGTTCAGCGTGGGATGTGTGGGAGAGGTGGCTTGGGGATGTTACTGGCATCGCTGGGCACTGCAGGGCATCACTGGGTGTTTTTAAGCACTGCTGGGCATTGCAGTGGGCTTTAGTGGGCGTCACAGGACAGCACTGGGCACTGCTGGGGGTCACTGGGTGTCACTGGATATTACTGGGGTCACTGGGCATCACTGGGTGTTGCTGAGCTTTACTGAGCATCACTGGGCATCACCTGCCCACATTGGACATCTCTGGGCATCGCTGGACATCACCTGCCATACTGGGCATCTCTGAGCATCTCCGGGCATCACTGAGTCCCTGTGTGTGCCCTCGGGCCGTGCCCCATCCCCCCACAGAGCCTCGACCTGTGGTGCTTCGACGTCTTCGCTCTGAACCGCGTGACAGAGGAGCACTCCCTGCGCACCATCGTCTACGAGCTCTTCACCCGACACAACCTCAACAGTCGCTTCAAGGTGCACCCACCCCATCCCCAGGCACGTCCCCTGGGCGTTATTCCCTTTTTTGCACGAGCGTGACACACGCGTGTGTGTCCCCACAGATCCCCGCCATGTTCCTCACCACGCTGTTGGATGCCCTGGAGGTTGGCTACGGGAAGTATCGCAACCCCTACCACAACCAGGCGCACGCTGCTGATGTCACCCAGACTGTCCACTGCTTCCTGCTCCGCACTGGCATGCTGGTATGGGGACAGCGTGTGGACACTGTGGGGACACTGTGGGGACACTGAGGGGACAGGGATTCCCTGGGTTTTTCTGGCCCAGGGATGCTTGTTGTCACACAGGCAGCACCGCCTGGCGACTCAGTTGTCACCATGGAAAAACTGTGAGGATGCAGGGGGTCGGGGTCACCCCCAGCTGGGGGAGGAGGAGGGGGCACTTCGTGCTGTCACCCCCACCTGGTTGTCACGTGCACTTTGTGGGGTCACGCTCTGCCATGGGGATACACGTGTTGTCACACGCAGCTGTGGGGTTGCACGCGCACTCAGGACCCTGTGCCCTTCTGCTCCCTGCCCCCTCGCTGGGTGGCACTGAGCTGTCCCTGTCCCTTTTTGGAGTGTGTGCCCCCCTCCAGCCCTCACCCCATGTCCCCCAGCACTACCTGACGGAGATTGAGGTCCTGGCCATCATCTTTGCTGCTGCCATCCACGACTACGAGCACACGGGCACCACCAACAGCTTCCACATCCAGACCAAGTGAGGGACGTGCACAGCACGGGGATGTGGGACAGCATGGGGATGTGATGCTGCGTGGGGACATGGCATGGCACAGGGATGTGGGATGGCATGGGGTTGTGGCACAGCATGGGGACATGGCATGGCACAGGGATGTGGGACGGCATGGGGTTGTGGCTCTGCTTGGAGATGTGGCACAGCATGGGGACATGGCATGGCATGGGCACAGAGAGCAGAACAGGGGACCCACTGTGGGGACACGTGGGACATTTTGGGGCAAGGAAGTGCTGCTCGTCACCCCATAGTCATGGGACAGATGTGCTGGCACCGTGTGACCACCAGTATGGCCCAGATAGAGATGTTCTGAAACTACGGGGCCAGCAGTAGGGTCAGGACACGGACACGCTGACATTGCCATACGGGACACTGAGCAGTGCCACCACGTGTCCCCACTGTCCCCTCCACCCAGGTCAGACTGTGCCATCCTCTACAACGACCGCTCGGTGCTGGAGAACCACCACATCAGCGCCGTCTTCCGCATGATGCAGGATGATGAGATGAACATCTTCGTCAACCTCACCAAGGATGAATTTGTGTGAGTTCCCATCCCCTCTGTCCCCATTGTCCCCACCATTCCCATTATTCCTGCCATCCCCACTGTCCCTATTGTCCCCACTGACCCCCTTGTTCCCACTGTCCCCATTACCCTCACCATCCCCATTGACCCCATTGTCCTCATTGTCCCCATTGTCCTTGCCATCCCCATTGTCCCCATTGTCCCCACCATCCCCATTATTCCTGCCATCCCCATTGTCCCCATTGTCCCCACTGACCCCCTTGTTCTCACTGTCCCCTTTGCCCTCACCATCCCCATTGACCCCATTGTCCTCATTATCCCCACTGTCCTTGACATCCCCATTGGCCCCACTGTCCTTGCCGTCCCCATTGTCCCCCTTGTCCCCGCTGTCCCCATGATCCCTGACAGCGCCGTCCCCTCTTGGCACAGGGAGCTGCGGGCTCTGGTCATCGAGATGGTCCTGGCCACCGACATGTCCTGCCACTTCCAGCAGGTGAAATCCATGAAGACTGCACTGCAGCAGCTGGAGAGGTGAGCACGGGCTCTGGGGACGTGACACTGGGGAGGGGACACATTTTGGGGCCAACGTTGAGTCCTGGATGCCCTCCCCAGGATCGACAAATCCAAGGTGCTGTCGCTGCTGCTGCATGCGGCCGACATCAGCCACCCCACCAAGCAGTGGGCAGTGCACAGCCGCTGGACCAAAGCGCTGATGGAGGAGTTCTTCAGGCAGGTATGGCCCCCGTGTCCCCTAGGGCTGGGGGGGGGACCCCCACACCGCTCTTTGGGGACGCTTTGTGCCTGGGCAGGGTGACAAGGAGGCTGAGCTGGGGCTGCCCTTCTCGCCCCTCTGCGACCGCACCTCCACGCTGGTGGCTCAGTCCCAGATTGGTGAGTGGTGGTCGCGTCCCCAACCCTGTCCCCAACCCTGGGGTGACACAGCCCTCACCTCACATCACTGTGCCCTTTCCCCACCACAGGTTTCATTGATTTCATTGTGGAGCCCACCTTCTCTGTGCTGACCGACGTGGCAGAGAAGATGGTGCTGCCCCAAAATGAGGATGGCTCCAAAGCCAAGGGCAACCCAGCGGGCGGCCAGCAGGCCAGGTTGGGGGCCAGCAGCCACCCCCCCCCATCTATCCAGCAGGCTCAGCTGTGTGGTTGTGCCTCAGTTTCCCCTTTCCCCTGAGCGGTGGGGCTCAGCGTTGAGGGGAGAACCCATCGCATTTGGGATATGGGGACGCATAGGGTGGGGGTGACACTGGTGGCTCTGCCCCCACAGCTCACAGTGGCGACAGACATCCCTGGATGAACACCTGGAGCTTGGGGACATCAAGGCTGACCTGGCCAGCTTTCGTTCCACCTGGACCAAATACATCCAGGAGAACAAACAGAAATGGAAGGAGAGGGCAGCCAGCGGTAGGTGACAGCCACCAAACATCCTTTGGTGGTGTCCCATGGGATGGTGACCCATGGGATGGTGACCCATGGGGAGGTGACCTCCAGAGAGGTGGCCCATGGGATGGTGACCCATGGAGAGGTGGCCTATGGGATGGTGATCCATGGGTTGGTGACCCATGGACAGGTGACCCATGGAGAGGTGGCCTATGGGATGGTGACCCACAGAAGGACAACCCATTGGAGGTGACCCCCAAATAAGGCTGGTTTTGCTCATCCCCGGGGACCCCTAAGCGTCCCCATGTCACCCCACAGGCATCACCAACCAAGTGTCCATCGAGGAGCTGTCACCCTACGAGGAGGAGCCCCCCGTGCCCCCCACCCAGCACAAGCACAATGGTGAGGTGGAATAGCACATGGCGAGGTGGGCACCCAAAGCATGGGGGCACCCTGGGGTGCAGATCGTTTCACGCCAACCCTGACCGTCCCTTTTGGGGTGGCAGGTCCTCATCCAACCCAGTGATGCCGTTCAGTCCAAAGTCTTTGATGCCATCGACTTCAGCACCATTCGCAGGGAAGGAGCCGCCGGGGTCTGTGCCAAGAGCATCTCTGATGGCAGCGCCGGGTCCTGGGGGGCCGGGACCCCTGGGATTCCCCCCCCAATCCTGTGCCAAACCGTCCACCAAGCTGCGTGGTGCTGATCCACGGGTGATGGTGATGCTGAGCCTCTCACTGCCGCGCCGGCGGGATTTGTCCTTATGGCTTTTTAGAAATCTGCTTCTCGCCCCACAGGGGATCCAGGTGTTGGGGAAGGGGGTGGCAGGGGTCTGAAGGATGGAGGAGCTGTAAGGGGTTTGTTTTCACCTCAGGGGTCACTGTGGGCCCCCCTTTTTCTCGCTGGGTCTGTGCTCGCACTGCTGGGTGTCCCCAGGTGTCCCCCCTGTGCTGTCCCCATCCCACCCCACCTGTGGGGAGATGGCAGATGCTGAATCTGTTCCCATATGGAGCATCTCTGGCATGGGGTGGGTTCTGAGTTATGGCTCTGTGCCACTCCTGGGTTGGGGACCCGGCCCCAGGGACACCCCAAGGCTGGGGAGCTGGGAATTGGGGCCAGCTGAGGGGGGGCAAAGTTAGTACCCACAGTGGCCATGAGGTTCTTCCAGCACCCCCAGTTCTGTGCCTCCAGCCCCTATAGGTGCAATGTGCTGCATGCACTGCTGCCCCTGATGGATTTCCAGCCCCCTCCCCCGGCTCCAAAACACCCCCAGGAGACCCCACTCCCTCTGGCATCCTGGCACCAGCGTGCTTCAGCATCCTCCAGTGTCCCAAGCTCTGGCGTGCTCAAGCATCCTCTGCATCTGGGCTCCACTGTACTCGAGAATCTCCAGCATCCTGGGTCCAATGTGCTCCAGAACCCCAAACTGATGCCCTCCAAAACCTGAATTGGAGTGCTCCAGCATCTCCTGGCTCCGACGTGCTCAAGAATCTCTAACATCCTGGCTCCAACATCCTCCAGAACCCCAAACTCGAGCTCTCCAGCACCCCCTGCACAGCGGTTCTGCCGAGCTCCATTTTGCCCCAGCACCCCCACATCTCCAGCAACCTGGAACATCTTCCAGCTCCGTTGTCCTCCCCCTCCGTGGTGCCTGGATCACCCCACGGCTCCGGCCCAGCACTGTACATAACCCAGCACACAGCTGTGTGTCTTTGTACTTTTCTACCATGCGGTCACGTCGTGCCTCCATCACTGCTGGCACAGCTCCGCCTCGCGCCCGCCCGCACACGCATGTGAAACCAAGAGCAGCTGCTAACGAGCAATTAATAAACCGTACGCCACCGCCAGCCCAAGCTCTGAGCCGTGAGGGGAGCTGCGCCGAAGGGTTGGAGGTTGGGGATGCAATGGGGGGTCCTGGGCTCTCCATGCGCCCACCCGGTGCTGAGCAAGGAGGAGACGCTGCGGAAAGGATCCGTTTAATACCAGCGTGGGTGTGCTCAGCTCTGCGTGCACACGTGTGTTCACGCGTGTCCATCTGTGCCCACGCGGCGGCGCGCATGCGAAGCGCGTGTGTAAAGTGCGCGGATGCGTTGCACGGGAGGGTGGGTGGGTGTGCAAATGCTTGTGCACAAACCCACGTGCACAGCTGTGTGCGCAGTGCAGCACCGGTGTGCCATCACCCCCCACCCTCCAACAAGGAGCTGTGCCCCCCAGGATGAAGCGCGGGGGCACCAGGGGGGGGTCCTGGGGTCACTCCGGTGGTGGCAGTGGGGACACAGGGGGTTTTGTCCCCATAGCGGAAGGAGGGGGGGGGGGGGGGGGGGGGGGGGGGGGGGGGGGGGGGGGGGGGGAGATAAAAAAAATCCGTCACGAACGCCGTCGGAATCTTAGAAAATGATTGATAGAAAAAAAGCACGCGGCGCTTCGGCTCCAATGGGGGCAGCAGCACCTGGGGACAGAGGGATGGAGAGACAGAGGGACGTGTGGGGACAGCAGGGGGGGGTGCAGCCATTTCCCTGTCTGCTGTCACCCCCCACTGCCACGCTGTCCCCCTGGATCAGTGTCCCCACAGCGTCCCCAGTATGGACACACGCCATCCCAGTCTGCAACCCCAGAGTCCCAGTATCCGCTCACAGCATCCCAGTATGTACCCAAGTGTCCCAATACACACCCAGAGCATCCCACTATGCACCCCACATCCCACTATGCACCCCCAGCCCCCCAGCATGCTACCCGTGTCCCCCCATGCACCCAGAGCATCCCAGCATGCGCTCACAGCATCCCACTATGAACCCAAGTGTCCCAGCCTGCACCCAGAGCATCCCAGTACGCACCCCACATCCCAGTATGCACCCCCAGCCCCCCCAGCACGTACCTACAGGCTGCCAGCAGCACCCTTTCCCCCCGGTGCTATATGGGTGCCCTCATCACCCGGACTTTGCCGCTCATCCCCGTGGGTCCCTGAGGCACAAATTGGGGTGGGTGAGCGCAGACCCCAAACCCCCACCCCCCCCTTCAGCTTCAGGGAAGAGGACAGTGGTGATGGCTACTCACTGTCACCTGGGCCTGGGCCACCCTGCTGTGTTGGCTGAGCCTGGGCAAGCGGGCAGCTGCCCCCAGGGCTGTGGCTGTGCTCGGTGTCACCGTGGTGGCAGCAACCTGGGCTGTGCTCCTGAGCTCCAGCAGCCACCTCCTCGTCCTCCTCGCCCCGAGCCTGCTTGCACAGGTGATGCTCCACCATCATCTGCAGTTCTGCGAGGCAGGGAGCGTGGCTGTGTCCCCGAGCCCTCATGATGTCCCCTCCCTGTCCCCACCGGCAGCCACCTGTCCCCTTTGGTGGCACCTGCACGCCGTGGCCCTGCATCCCCGTGTCCCCAGCTGTGCTCCTGCCCCTTTGGATCCGCTGTGCCACCAGGGAGGTGGCATCACAACTTGGCCACCCACGTGTCCCCCCGTGGCACCCAGGGAGATGTCACCTGATGTCACCTCAGGTACCTTTCACAGTGGGGGTGGTGCAGTACACCTTCTTCCTCTGCCGGGGGGACATGGCCAGACCCGACTGCAAAGCAAGCAGAGGGGGGGGTGATGTGGTAGGGGGACACCTCGGGGTTTTGGGGACACCTCAAGTCATCGCTTACCTTCAGCAGGGCGTTGGGGAGTCGGTCCTCGTCGATCTCTGGGGACAGCATAGGGACAGAAGGAGCGGGTGGTAAGGGGTGGTGTCACCCATGGGTGCTTGGTGACCCACGGAGCACCAACATGGGGACATATGGGGATGGGGACAGTGCTGCTCTGGGACCCACTCAGCACCAGGAACAAAGCATAGCGTTGTCGTGGCAACCAGCACCTCATCACCATCCCTCTGAAGGTGACACGGTCAGGGTGGGGGGTCCCACAGCTGCCCCCATCCTGTGGCACCGGGCTGGCAGGGGTCGCATCCTGACCCTATTTTGGTTGTCCCAGTGCTGTGATAAAACTCAGCCCCGTGGTTCGTTTTCCACATTGCTGTCCCCAAAGTACCCAGGGACAGCGTTTGGGAACGCAGTGTCCCAGCCACCCCAAAACGAGAGATATTGAGCCACCCCATGAGAGAGGAGATGGATGGGGCAGGAAGCCGGCAGGGTCACATCCCGTCCCCAAAGGCCAGGCGGGGGAGGGGGCAGTGAAACTCTCAAATATCACCTCTACTCCGCCTCCCCCCCTCCATGCCCAACCCCAGGGACGTGCCGGGCATCCCGGGGAGGGCACAAAGCGGGGGGGGGGGGAAGCGCGTCACCAACAGCTGCTTCCCCTGGAGATGAATGGGCTGAAGACCGGAGCGCAGCGCAGCGCACGGTCACCGTTGTCCCCGCGGTGCGCCTTCGTTGCTACCCGCAGACCCCGAGGTGACACCGCGACATAAACGGTGACCCACCTGGGGACGATTGGTCGCTGCT